TAATTTTTGAGACGTATCGGCGCAACAAGTTTTAGCCGAGGGCTCCTGTACTGATGCGCGGGTTTTGGCCAATAAACTGATCTAGCGGTAAGCTTTTTATCCGATAAAACAAAGCTTCTTCGGAATAGAACTTTAGGCGATGCTTCCTTCGTTCCGGTACAGCGTTTGGCCGAGAGAATTCACCCGATAGGCATTTTTGGCCGATAAACATGGTCCAGCGGTTCAGCCTTTTGCTGATAAATCCAAAAACACCATTTCCACCATTTCTGATCCTCCAAACTCCATTTCAACAACTGGTCTCTTCTCTTCTGCTCCAGAAGCCTCCAAAGTACCTGTTTTAAGACTCCAAACCATGCAAAGACTCACTTGGACCTAATGCAAGTTCCTAAGTCTAAAACAATGCCTAAAGACCTAAAATGCATAAAATAAGACATGATTTGGAATGAAATATGCAAGCTAAATTATGCATTTTATGAAAATATCAGTAAGTTGATAAAGTCATTGTATGGGCTATATCAAGCACCTAAACAGTGGCATTAAAGGTTTGATGAGGATGTCTTGTCGAATGGATTCGAGTTAAATCAGTTGGACAAGTGTTTATATAGCATATTTGACAAGTCTGGTAATGGAGTAATCATTTGCTTATATGTTGATGACATGTTGATCATTGGCACCGAGCTTAGACAAGTAGAGCTTACCAAAGCATTTTTGTCATCAAGTCTTGTCATGAAAGACATGGGGGAGGCGGACGTGATTCTTGGAATTAGAATCAAGCGTGAAAACAAAGGACTATCTTTAACACAATCTCATTACATTGAGAAAGTTTTTAAGAGGTTCATTTGTGAGAATTGTTCTCCAATAAGCACACCCATGGATGTGAGTGTAAAGCTTATGCCCAATACGGGATGAGTGGTATCACAACTCGAATACTCACAAGTAATTGACTGCTTAAGTTTGGGATTATTATCTTTAAAAAAACTCTTTTAAATTAATAAACATAAATAAAAAAAATATGAAAGAGATGCAATGGTTGGTAAAAAATTGAGATATAATCATAATCCCAACAATTGCAATGATTTAATAACAAAAACTCAAGAGTTGCAATGGTTGGTAAAATAACCATAAACTCAAAAGTTGTCATGTTTAGTAAACAACCATAAACTCAAGAGTTGCAATGGCTGGTAAAATAACCATAATCTCAAAAATTGCAATGTTTAGTAAAATAACTAAAAACTCAAAATTTGCAATAATTCATTAAAATAACTATAACAATTAAGTCTCCAACATTCCTCCCCCATTTAAGTGAAATCATAGAATCACTAAATAAATAACACATATACCAAAATTCATCCATAAATGAAAATGTCATATGTATTTTAAACCCAATAAGATGATAATTTTCACCATGGATCTTGAAACAATACATCTCATATGTATTTTGAACAGAATAATCAATTTCTGCACCCATAGAGATAAAAGGTAGGATAGAATTATAAGTTTTTATATATCGGAGAAACAAAAAGCTCACTTAAAAGTTTAACTAATAACAATGGAGGCTTACGAGCAGTAGGGAGTAAGAACAGTGCAGAAAAATATTTTTGGGAGAAACTTTTTTATTCTATTGAATTTCCAGTATTCATTTATTTTTATACTTTTCTGCAGGAAAAATATTTTTTTAAAATATATTATATCAGTTTCATATTAAAATGTTACATCATTAAATGGAGCATAACACAATAACAATTCAAACATCATTTGCCAAGTTTTAAAAACATCCTACATGTGTAAATTTTTAAAAATAATAACTAAATTTTATCATATTATTGAAAATAATACCTTTTTTCTTGAACAATAGTGCACTCGTAGATCTGTCAATAGTGTTAGAAAAACTTGTAACTGTTACATCATTAAAATGTTACATCATTAAATGGAGCATAACACAATAACAATTCAAACATCATTTGCCAAGTTTTTAAAACATGCTACATGTGTATATTTTAAAAAATAATAACTAAATTTGATCATATTATTGAAAAATAATACATTCTTTCTTGAACAATAGTGCACTCGTAGATCTTATGCCAATAGTGTTAGAAAAACTTGTAACTGTAGCAGATACTTCAACTTTATGGCATTTAACAGGTGAGTTGCATGCTTGATAAATAGAATGTTTATCCATCTCTAAGTGAAAATAAAACCAAAAAACATGTCTTATTGTTATATATACTGGTAAAAAGTTGTATCATCTTGATGAAAAATTGTACCTCTTCAATAAGTAATTGTATCTTGATTTTGAAAAGATTCAATGCTTGAAAAATAAAATGTTTAAATTTTGAACAGTTGCAATGGTTTAATAATTATAAACTTAAGAGGTGTATTGGTTGGTAAATTAACCTTAATTTCAAGAGTTGCAATGTTTAGTAAATAACTATAAACTAAAGAGTTGCAATGGTTGGTAAAATGACCATAATCTCTACAATTGTAAATAGTAAAACATTCATTTCCTATTAAAATATAATCATAGATTCACTAAATAAACAACACATACACCAATAAAAAACCCAAAGACATAACCATACAATAGCTAGCAGTTATATACATAAAAACACAATTAACAAAACATTTTAATAGCAAGACACAATAGTTCATTCGTTGTTTTATAGAAATGTATAATTTAAAATAACATTAAACGAAAGACACAATTTTATAATAATGATAACCTTATATATTAATAATTGTTATACACAAAAAATACAATTAACTAAAAATAATAATAAAAAAGACAAAATAGTTTATTCATAGTTTTTCATATCGTTATTTTGTTCTTCCAAGCTTTTTTTAATCTTGAAACTTTTTGTGAATTATCATATTCTTATTTTCAAGACTAAAATCTTCATCACTTTCACATAAATTGGTTTCTTCTTTGTCTTCTTTTTTTACTTCACATCCAAATCTATTAGTGTCATTTTCTACTTTAGAAAGTACATCTTTAATCCCTATTATAGTTTGATATATCATGTTTGATGTGTCAAATAAACTTTAGAAAGTACATCTTTAATCCCTATTATAGTTTGATATATCATGTTTGATGTGTCAAATAAATTATATAACGATTATAGTATAACTAAAAGTATTGCTACACTTGCATAAGTAATGATAAATTAAATTTAAAAAGCAAGTTTTAACATAAATCAAATAAATTCATAGAACATAAGATTATGTTGCCTTCTAAGATTAGTGATAAACTTGTCAAAAGAGTTAATATTTTTTTATTTTGTCTAAATTTTGAATTTTTTTCCAGAAATGTTTTTCTGGATATTGACCGGATGTGAAACCCTCCAGTTCAAGGTCTTCTTTATTCATAGGTGAATATAATAAAATAACAAATTTTGAAATAGAACTAAAAAAACTCATAGGAAAAAATATTAGGTTGCCTTTTAAGATTGTATAATGCCAAGAGAATTACTATATTTTTGTTTATGTCCAGATTTTTTGGCTTTTGTTCCAAAAATATTTTCTTAGGAATTGAGCAGATCTTTCACCTTTCATTTCAAGTTTTTCGTTATTCATGGCTAACCATTTACTAAAAACTTTCTTCTAACATAATTTCTGTAACAATTGCTTGCAAATGAACAATATTTTTACTAAGGAAATTTAAGCTAATTTGAAGTTTATCAAACAATAAATTGATATATAAGAGGAGGTTTCCCAAAGTAAAGAGCATTATAAAAAAGTTCAATAAAATAAATAATGAAGATTGAAACAAAATATATACAATCTTTAAAAGACATAAGTATTAAGAGAAGCAACCATTGATAATCAGCGATTATGTACGAAATGGTACAATTAATAAAGTAAATCGAAAAGACACAATTGTAGAATTGTAAACTTGAATAAATTAACAAATATACATAAACAAGTACAATAGAAAGTGCATCTTTAATCCCTATTATAGATTGGTATATCATGTTTCTTGTGTCAAATAAATTATATAACGATTATAATATAACCAAAAGTAGGGCTACACTTGCATAATTAATGATAAATTAAATGTATAAATAATATTTTAAAATAAATAAAAAATAAATTCATAGGGCAAAAGATTATGCCTTCTAAGATTAGGGATAAATTGCCAACATAATTATTATTTTTCTATTTAGTCCTAATTTTTTTGAATTTTTTTGAGAAATATTTTTCTGGATATTGAGCGGATGTGAATCCTCTAATTCAAGGTATTCTTTATTCATGGATGAATAGAATATAAAAAAATAAATTTAAAATAGCAAGGAAAGAAAACTCATAGACAAAAATATTATGTTACCTTTTAAGATTAGTAATATAATTGCTAAGAGAATTATCATTTTTTTTTCTAGTCCAAATTTTTTGGCTTTTGTTCCAAAAATATTTTTTGGGAATTAAGTGGATCTTTCACCTTTTATTTCAATTTTTTCTTTATTTATAGCTAACCATCTACTAATAAACCTTTTTTGTAATACTATTTCTATAACAATTTCTTGCAAATGAACAATGTTTTGGAATTTTAAGTTAATTTAAAATTTATCAAACAATAAATTGTAGAAGGGGTTGTTTCTCAAAGTAGAGAGGATTATTAAAAAAAATGTTCAATAAAATAAAAAATGAAGATTGAAACAAAATATATACAATCTTGAAAAGACATAAGTATTAAGAGAAACAACTGTTGATAATCAACGGTTTTGTACGAAATAATACAATAATAAAGTAGTAAAATAAAAGACATAATAGTATAATTATAATTTTTGAATAAATTAGCAGTTATATATAAAAAAGTATAATATAAAAATATAATGGTTTAATAGTTTATTTATAGTTTTTTATATTGTTATTATTAATAGATAATATGAATTAACTGATGAGTTAAAAAATAAAATAAAAATAAAAATGAGAGAAAGAAGAAAAAAAATGAAAATAAATAAGGTCAAAATCGAGAGGCGCAAGGTTTGGGTGTGTCATTGTGTTTTTTTATAATCTTGTGGTGGTGGCTTAGAGCTTTAGCCAAAACACCAAACAGAGTCTAGAAAAGATTAGAAGACGAAGCTTACCAAAAACTCGAATCCCTAGGTAAATAAAAGCGCAAAACCTTCCTTAGCCCTGAAAAGTTATATCTCTCTCTTTCTCTCTCTCTCTTTCTATCTCTCTGTTTATCTTGCTTTCCGCAGCCTTTTACTCCTCAATCTCGTTTCTCTTCCATGGATCCACTCTATTTGTTCCGCAAAGGTTCGTCTACCTTCAGATTTTGTTACCTTGATTTGGGATTTTATTTCTCTTTCTCGGATTTTTGTATTCCTGTCGTTCAATGAATTGGGTTATCCCTTTTTTTAAAAATCGTGAATCTCGTTTTTTCTCGAAGAATGCTTCATACTTAGTGGGTTTACAAATCGTAAATCGTTAATCGTAAATCTTAAGTTTGAATTCTTTCTTTCTTTTTTTCGTAATATTGTTATTTATGGATACGAATATTGGAAATTGGGTCTCAGATTTGAAGCCAGGTGAGAGAGAAATTAATTACCTTTTTATGTGTTTGTCTGCTACGCAACTGAGAACTTTTTTTGTCTAAATCTTAAATAAAAGATTCAATGCCTTTGAATTTTGATTGTAGCCACTGAAAGCGTATGTTTTGTGTTGAGTCCACGCACGTTTTCGTTTCTTTTCTAGGTAATTTGAGTGATAAAAGTCAATTTTCTTGCAGGTTTCTTTTCTTGGTAAAATTCTAGTGATAAAAGCAAACTGATTTTCTTTGCAGATTTTTGGGTTAAAAAAAGCAGTAATTTTTGAAGTCTTCCTTGTCCCCAAGTCTCTACATAGCGATTTTTATTTCCATTTTGTTGAAGATATGAGCTTAACCAAGAAATCACCAACCCAGTCAAGTGATCCAAAGCTAAGCTCAAGTATCAAACCAACAACTTTGAACCCTCATGCTGCTGAGTTTGTTCCATTTACTCTACGGACTCCTTCATCTGGAGGTGCTACTACAAGCAATTTGGATGTGACATCAAAGCTTTTAGCTTCCTCTAGCTCTGTAGGGAAAGCTGTCTTGGACCGATCGGAATCGTCTGCATCACATCATTCAGATGAAGAAGCACGCCAGTTCTGGAGTCACCAGCTTCCTGATGATATAACCCCAGATTTCAAGTTGATGACTCAAGATGACAATTCGTATGGATCTGGGAGTTTGTCACTAGCTAGCTTGTCCTTGTATGACATTAACGAAGCTGAAAAGTTTCCTTCAGCTAGTGGAGGAGGAGGAGGTGGAGGAGGATATCCGTTTTCAGACCAACATGGTTTAGCTTCACGTTCACGTATTGCCAATGGTAATAGCTTGTCCGAAAAGATTAGATATCCTGTTTCCTCATTCGGGGAACCGAATTTCATGCATGTAAGTCCAAAGCCTTGGGATAAGCAGATTATGAATGCCGATCAGCTCCTTGGAAATGAAAGGGAAAAAAACCCTTTCAGTGGGAATCCTCGACATGGGTTCATTAACGACATGATTACCGAGAATTCAAATGTAGGGGAAATTGAGGTGAACCCTGTGGAGTTTCTTGCTTCTCAGTTCCCTGGATTTGCTTCAGAGAGTCTGGCAGAAGTTTATTTTGCTAATGGGTGTGATTTGCACTTGACAGTTGAGATGCTTACTCAGCTTGAGGTATTCTCCTAGTCAATATACGGCATAGCTTTCACTGATGTGTCATTTGCTTATGCTGTTTTCCTGCTTTATAGTGCAGTGTGTCTGGTCCAGATGTTATTGGCAATTTGCATACTCTTTGCCACTTCAATTAATTTTTCTAGTCCTGGCTATGGAAACTCATTTTGCTTGTGAATAAATGGTTCAGTGTAGATGCACATGAAATTACGGGGCGGAGTGTTGACTTTAGTCAGCTATCTCTTTCATGCCTTCGTTTGGCATAATTAATTCACTGGATATTGCCGGTCGTGCCTACTCATGTTGTTTTGCTATTTTACGTGTGTTTCTATGTGTTTATCGTATTAGTGATCTGGTTGTTAACCATCCACGTGTTTTACTGTAGCTACAAGTGGATGGTGGCTTGAATCAGAACGTAAGCCCTAAGGCTTTTGCTGCTCCTAATTTAACTCCAATGGATTTTCCTGCCCTTAGCATCTCCAATAGCCAAGGTAATCCTGCCCAGTTTGGTGGGGATGATTTGCAACAAACTGGAAATCATTACCAATCTGCTGTAAAGGATAACATGTTTTTCTTCAAGTCGGGCTCATCAGTTTCTCAGCCTGGCTCAATCGATTATGTTTCTGCTGTGAGGAAGTTAGCATCCCAGGATTCTGGTATTTGGAAATATGAACCAAAAGATTCAGCAGACTCATCTATTGGCTCAAGCAGAAATTCCCATGCTTCAGTTGGTGCTTACAAGAGTGCGCGTGGGAGGAATATTTATTCTGATAAGCTGCAAAATCGACCTGCACCTGTCTGGGTAGAGACCGGAGATGCAGTTGGTAAATTTCCTTTTTTCAACAAACTTTAGTGCACATTCAGATAATTATATTTAGTCTTTGTTTTCTTTTCTGATTGGAGATATGATGCATGTCTGCCTCTTATTTTGATCGGGGATGAACAGGGAATATGTATTCTGACTTACGCGAGGAAGCACGTGACTATGCACGTCTGCGGAATGTATACCTTGAGCAGGTATAATAGACCTGAGAAGGACATTATTTATCAGTTATGCGACCTCTAGTTTTTTTCTCTGCATACTATGTATGTTCTTTTGTGTAGCTGGGATTTTCCATTTAGTGCATTTTTGTCTATTAATGTGATGTTGTGTATAATAGGGCATAACTTTGAGGGTGATATATCCTTAATCTCAGACTGATTTTTGAAAAGTACTTCGGGTATATGGCGTAGGGAATAATAAGTGTCGAGTTTATCTACAATATCAGATGATAGTGTGATAAGGCCTTTTTTGCATGATGGATTTTTATCGGTTATTACTCCACCGTCCATCTTATTAAGGTATCATGTGTATTTATCATGTATGCTCAATACTCGTCTGGTTGACTGCAGGCACGGCAAGCATACCTTGTTGGCAATAAGGCCTTAGCTAAAGAGCTAAGTGTCAAGGGACAGTTGCATAACATGCAGATGAAGGCTGCTCATGGGAAAGCTCAAGACGCCATTTACCGTCAAAGGTTTGACTTCTTTCCTTGCTCTGCACTGCACCTCCTTCCGACATGATCTTTTCTCTGCTATTACATAAACGAAAAAGCAGACTGTTGTTTTCTCTCTCGGTTCTTACCTGCCTTATGAGTAATAAATAACACAGGAACCCGATTGGTCAAGGGAACAGTAGAGGGAATGAGAGAATGATAGACTTGCATGGGTTACATGTGAGTGAAGCACTTCAGGTACTGAAGCACGAACTGAGCGTGATGAGGAGCACAGCTCGAGCAACACAAGAGAGGCTTCAGGTTTTCATATGTGTAGGGACTGGCCACCACACAAGGGGTTCCCGCACACCGGCTAGACTCCCAATTGCTGTACAGCGCTACCTACTCGAAGAAGAAGGCCTTGACTTTTCCGAGCCTCAGGCCGGTCTCCTTACAGTCATCATATACTGACAGACAAAAGCCAGGTACTTACATAGGAAGTGAACGATACACCACGAGAAAGAAAAACCAAAAAAAAAAGAAGAAAAAGGATCGACCACGGAATTCATTTTGTTGTATCTGTTCTGTACATGGGAAGAGAGAGTAGCTGAAAATGAAGTACAAAAAAAGGTGTTAGGAGAGAGATGAAGGCAAGAAGGAAGGAATGAAGAAGGCGTAATGCATAAAATGTTTAGGTTTGTTCAGAAAATACTTTTTGTAGCATCAGAGGATCAATCAGACCTCGACCTCTTTCTGTTATCTTTTTGTGGGGGGCTTTATATGATGTTTTGTTTGATTCTCTATGCTTTTTTACAGTTTCACTCTATATGCTATATACTCCTTTCTTCTAAAAATACTTAATTCTTTAGATTCATTGTGCATCATCACTACTCATCAATAAGTCTTGAATTAAGGAGTCGACAGTAAAAAGAACAAATTGTGGTTCAAGCTCTAATCATGAGTTCATAAACATTACTGTTGTTCTCTCCATTCACACGCTTAAGCATTTCGAAACTTTTCCTGCTTCCCAATAGTCCTATCCTTGGGAAAACCATGTATCCATCATCTGATGCCTCCTTGTTGCAATAAGTTGCTCTGAGACGATCGGCGTCCCTTGAGTCTGTGTGAATCGCGACCTCTAATTCATGGTTCAGCAAGTTCTCCTGCAGAATCAATACAGACAAGGAAGAAGCAATCTAATTATTGTGAAACTAAAAGGGTCATAAAACTACAAATATACAATCATAAAAACATCTGATCAGACTGATAGAGAAGGTAATAAATCTTGATTATGAATCACCGATAAGATACATTTGATTCTGGAGAATCACCCATAAGAATCATTTAGATAGCAAAATTTATACATTATGACTTACTCCATCTATGCATCGGAGAAAGTTGTACCTGGTAAAATCTGTGGATATAGTCTAAGATTTGCATGCAAGTGAAGCCGTTGTCACTGAAATAAGTCCGTGAAGAAGGTCCCATCTCCGAGAACCGATCGGCTGGATACAGAATTGTAAGGAAGCTGTCTTTAAATATCACTTCCGTCTTCTCGCTGCACCCCAGAATGAAAAAAAAAAAATTTAGTTGACCATAGTGAGATTTTTCTTGGTTGCAACCATGGCAGCAATAGAGAGTCGTCGGCGAAATAGTACCTCTCGGTGAGTGGTCTGGTCGAGTTTGAAAATGAAGCTACTGGATCTAACGCTTTATCTTTCTCTTCTTGTACAACAGAAGGCTGGGGTTCATTGATGTTGCCACTGCTGCTGCAAGAATAAGCAAAAATAGTGGCTGTTGAAGCAGCTTCAGATATTGTCCAGCAAATATTATCCAGCAGGCTGTTCTGTGTTATGCGTCTTATTGGGTTTTGGCAAGTCTATAACATCCAAAAAGAGAACCAGCATTCAAATTCAGACATTATCAGCTGAAAACAAAATCGTCATAAGTAAATTTTAGACTTCAGGGAAGAAGAATAGATTATCGGTTACGTGCATATGGCGAGCACGCCGTCTCCTAACCCCAGTTTTAGCTATATTTACAGTCTCTTTCCTTTCTTTTATTGATTTACTCCTGAATTTAAGAGCATCTTGAGTATTCCCTTCCCCGGATATTTTCTGTGACATTTTACAAAGAAAGCTCGCAACTATTAATCTTGTCACTTAAAATCACACCATATGGAAAGATAAATTACCTCCAGTGTAGCACCATCTTCAAAGCTTTCAACCATTAATCCTAACTGTCTTGCTAAATCAGGTGACATGTGAACAAGTCTTTGTCGATGTCTCTCTACTGTTTTTAGGACCCATAGTGGCTGATGTAAACAAATAAACAAACAAACAAACAAAAGCAAGCATAAGTTAGCCATCACGATACAAATTTGTTAGTTAATTAGAACTATTTCTCATCTAGCTCACTATGGTCAATTGTATGACAAGGCTACAGAGCAATTAAGTAGCGGGATTGAGTATAAAATTCTCCTCATAGTACCCGTTATGGAGAATACAATACAATTGTACAACAATGAGATAAAGAAGAACTCACCGAGACAATGGTGTTTGCATGGCCAAGATATCTCTGGACAGAAGGACCTTCACACACGACAAGACTTGCATTGCAACCAATAAACCATGAATCTATGACTTTTGCTCCTTGATCTTCAGCAACCTTTAACACCTAAACATTCCTTTCAAAAGTGAATCACAGAATATATTGAGCAGCCTTGCCAGCAAATTGAAACCACCAAAGGAGATAGATTATTTCAATTCACGGAACCCGCAAATTACCTTAACCCGGAGTTCATTTGAAATGTCTGAATCAACATACATGGAATGGTCAGCAAGAGTCATGTCTACACTAGTGCTAATCTCTGTTTCAGAAGAAGAAACTTGGCAGTACTTCTTTGCTGTGCCAAAATGTACAGCTTGCTGACTTGGACGAGGACGACAAATAGGTTCGAGATCAAAAACCCGGCTCAGGTCATCCACCTTTTCGCTATTTTGTTCAAGTTGTTTAACATTGTAAAGTGATTCGCTCATCCTGACTACAACAGTACAAAATACCAATTTTCAGCTACAACTTCAGGCGCATATAACCTTTCAACTTATTAAGAATATCCATAAGCTCTATTATCTAAAAAAATCTGTTCCAATTTAGTTTACTGAACTGAAGCGAACACTCCGAATATCATGTTGATGACAGATCACAGATTATCTCTAGTGAACTAGGAGAAGCCAATGTAGGACTGCTAACTAAAAGGTTACATTCCTGGAAACCAATCAAAACTAAAAGTTAAAGGAGTCAACAGAAAGTCAAGCGTCTATGGATTTGCAAGCAAAATTTTCACCAATTTGCATTGCTGTTACACCGAGGCAGTAACCAGAAAAAAAAATAAACAGATGGTTATATTTATGATACTAATTTCCATGGCTAGAGTCTATAAATTATTGAGCGAACAATTTAGACACGGTTTGACACTTACGGTTTCTCCTGACGCTATCTACAAACCAGCCAATTGTAACAATAAATAGACCGTTTCTTGCCCCATGCTTCAAAGTGTGCTCAAACTTACGTCCACATGAGCTGTAAGATATCGTTAAGCATACCAAAAGAATCTATGTTCAAGAACCATATTACAAATCTTAAAAACAATACAGGTTATCTGAAGAAAAGCTTATAATGACATGATCATGTTTGGTTTAGTCATAAGTCATAACCAAACCACTACAAGTTGCAATAAAAAAATGAAAAAGGATATCTGGACAACCAAATGGGTACATTGCAGGTGAAGGTGAGGACTGTATTCGCCTCCGAGTCTCTCTGTCGCTTCCTTCACTTGTTTTCTTGCATCTGCAAAATAACCAAATCAAAACTATGTATCTTAAATCAAAACACAATTTATAAACATAAAACTAAAGTTATCAAGGCGACAACTTCACAACAGCATCTCGAAGTCTAGAAAAATAGTTACCATCACGAAATTCAAACACTGATGAATATAAATCCCCAAACTTCTAATTAAATAACGTAGCATGCATCAAACCCCAATATATAAATCCAAAGTTATAAAGAGACAAGAACACAACAGTATCTTAAATGCTAGAAAAATAGTGCCAAGTATGAATTTCAAAGACTGATGAACATAAATCTACAAACTTTCTTGTTATATCATACATCAAAACCCAATTTATAACCATAAAACCCCAAGTTCTATAGGAGACAAGATCACAACAGCATCTGGAAGTCTAGAAAATAGTTGGCAATTCTGCAATATTAAAACTGATTCATACAAATCTACAAACTTTCTTCTTATATAATACATCAAAAACGAAATTTATACAAATAAAATAAAAGTTATAAAGGAGACAAGATCACAACAGCATTTGCCAAGTAAAAAATTCAAAGATTGGTGAACATAAATCTCCAAACATCCCACTGATCATCAAACTAAATTGCAAGTCACAATGAAAAGCAACTGAAGCCTAATCGAGATTGTAAAAGGAACAAATTTCGGATTTTGGAATTGAAAAGAATTAGATGGGTCACATAAAACCGTCTAAGAACACATAATTGGACCTTTGGATAAACCAGTGACGCAAATGACAAGAGAAGAGAAGGGTCCATTGGGTTGAGACATGGGAGGAGGAGGTGGAGATTGCAAGATAGGAAACAATTTGGAACAACCCTTTGAATCGATCAGACCAACATTTCTTCCGAGAGCACCCATTGTTCATACAGAGAAAACCCTAAACTTCCATTCTCGGCTTTATTATACAAGTCATCACCACCAAGTTTCAAAATACGGAATCATTGCAGAAAAGACTAAAAAAGGAATCAAAATCAAAAGAGATTCACTTTCTCAGAGAAAAAGAAATCGGGGAATGTAAGAAGAACATGAAAAGGATTTCAAAAGAACAAAAGAGGGATTTTAGGACAAAATGGTGCTTTAGAAATCTCGGAGTGTGGGGAAATAAAAAAGATGGTTGCTTTGGTTGTGAAAGCTTTTTCGTGGGGTTTTGGCTTTATCGGCGTGATCCAAAATTGGAGAATGTTTAGTGACCACTATTCAAACTCACGGCCTGCAAAATAAAATATGATTCAAAATCGTTAGGGCTAGGAAAACTTAATCAGAGAAACCATATGGTGTCCCAACAGTCTGTTCTGAATCGTTAAAGATGGTAGCTTTTTGATCTAGAAGAGTTTGTGAAGATTAAATAGGCTTTCAGCATATCACATATACTAGGTATCTGCAGGCGTCCCGCGGACACAATCATCATATAAATCATATTATAATTTAATTATTGAAATTCTTGTAACATAAACATCACATTTCTATTTTCAATAATTGAGACTAAAATATTGTATAATAAGATTCAACACACAAGTTTTAAGTTATACAAATACTTATATAAAGAAATAAATCATACAAATACTAAAATAAATCATGTAATAAGATCCAACACACGAGTTTTAAGTTATATAAATACTTATAAAAAGAAATTAATAGAACACTACTCTATTAAGTATTGTTATAAGTTAAATTTTCGTCTTGTGTTTAAAATGTGCTCCACCTCTCCCGAATCCTGGAGGTTTAAGAGACATATGCATACTATAAGATTGTTGTATATACAAAACTCTCCAATTATAATTTTCATATTACTTACTTTCTCTTAAAAATCAGGGCATCATCCGTAGTGGGATCAAGGAGAAGACGGGAAAAACTAATTGTTTCATGTGAATGGATAGTTATTTCATCTACACTTATAAAATTATTATTAGGAAATATACATGCAAAATAAATATAAAACATATATTGCACAAAATGAAAATAATAATGACATATGCTTGATTATCCATAGCTTCTTTTTTATTTACACTCCAATCGGTTAAGACAGAAACCGCAAAAGGACCAGTGAATCATTTGGTTCTTTCTTTGATATCAGCGGCAAAGTCCCCGTATGCGATGCATTTCAACTTCACATCCCTTTGATTTGAACAATTTAAGTTACAAACTTTGTTACCAAGACATAGTGATCGTGAGAGAAAATATAAACTTACTCGAGATCTGTGATGGTGAAAGTTATTTTCTAAATAATATCTCCATCAAGGTTATTCCCTGTTTCAATGTCGCTAACATTTTCCGTCACTCCAATGAGATCTACAAATCAATTATGAGAGAAATATTTATCATAAACGAAATTCATTTTTTTTTCTATATATGTACAAATTTATATATGAAATCACTGAAACGAATATTAGAAGTTAATCTTACCAACAGGATATAACTGAGCATAAGGAATTCTGTATATCTCACTAAAAGGGACAAATTTCATGAAGGGATCCATTGTCAATGATCGTAGACTTGAGACTTCTGTCCCAGTAGTGAGAATGATCTGATAATTGTGTCTCGTTGTTCTTCCCTCATTCTTCCATTCAGATGGTATCAAGCCGAATTTAGACAATTCAAGCCATCGTCTTTCGGTCCCAACACGGTAAAAATATGGAAAGGCGAGGTTACCACATGAAGCATTAATTCTACAATACAATGAAATTTGCAAAGAGATCAAACAAACAATAAATATAGACAAAACAGTTATATCTTCATATTAGATAATACTTATATTTTCGTCGACTAAAATGAAATTCAGCCCTGGTAAGCCTTGACGATCAGGTTTATTCCATCTTTTCAAAACTTTGACACGGATTTTCCAATCTCGTCTCCATGCATGTAACTCATCAACAAAGTTATATGTAGTCATGTGGATAATGTTTTTATAAAGCCAAAGAAACAGTTGGGGAGAAGGATTGCTTTGTTGTTTATTTTTAACAATGGATATGAGGAAATGAGGATATATATAACACCCAAATAACGGTTATGGAAAGTGTCGCGTGAATCAGTGCATTTTACGTATTTTTAAACTAAAAATGCTCCATTTTTGAAAAGTTGCAATTTATGATGAATATTCTAGATAGATTATTGGTTAACACGGTTTATCTGTTAAAGGAAGAGTCGAATTTTTGTTACAACACGAAATCTTTTGGCCCATAAGATGTATAAAAATATTGGGCTCAGATGATATATAATTTAAGTGGAACATAATAAACCGTTTACATCAAACAGATTTAGAATCAAATCAGTTATATGTTATTGACATGCTTTTTAATAATCCAACACGCGCTATTTTTTGACAGAACATTATTAAAAATATTTAATATCGTTTATAATCCAATTTATTAGAATAATGTTATTTTTATCCAATGACAATCCTTCATAAATAATCAACTCACGATAGCACATAATCATACTCCAGTAGTAAATTTCCCAAAACAATGTATATTATATCTATAAGGAGTAATTTAAACCCAAATTAGAATAAATTATTATTTATTAATAATCGCAAAACAGCCTTGTAAATTAAAAAAAAAAGTGTCTAACAAAACTAATAATATATATGGATTATCGATTTTGAATCCTTTTAATCGGCCCAATCCATTAGACATCATCTGTATCCAGCCCATATAATCTCTCTCTAATCCTGAAATTTCAATAACAAAATCATGTAGATCTAAATTTATGAAAATATTTTTTTTTTCATAAGTCAATTTAAACAACACATAGAAACATACTTACCTATTGCGCAAGGTTAAAACTTCATCAATAGGTGAATCAGTGATAAAACGGGACACACCATCATCATCATGATCCTTGATAGACACATTCTCTAAAACATATATATTGGAATATTGTTATGTTATATACAACGATTTTAAAAATAACATATTGATGTATCATCCCAGAACATACCCCCGTCAATTGCTACACACCAATCGGTTAACACACGTATAGCAAAGGGACCTTCGTATTCTCTACACTTATCTCTTATTTCAGTTGCCAACTCACCGTGTGCAACACACTCTAGCATAAACTCCCTATATTTTGACAAAGAATGTAGTTAATAATTAGTTAGTTAAACTTCAAAAACATATAGTTTGAGATATACTTACTCATCATCTATTATCTTAAATCGAATTGATGATGAAGTCATTCCATCCGGGTATGTAATAGTAAAATATATAGCATCTTCGACGACTCCAATCAAATCTGCGATTGTAATTAGTCAAAATAAAGACATTAGTGCGAACTATAAAGTTTGCATTATAAGAAGATACCAAAATATTCTTACCAATTAGATAATAATGAGCATCTGGGAATTCATAAATCGAGAGGAATGATACAAAATTATAGAACGAATTATTTGTTAATGGTAAAGCTGGTGAAATCGTTGTTCCCTTTGTCAGTGTAATAACGTAATCATGTTTTGTAATACTTTGGATATTAGTCCAGCTGTAAGGATTCAAAAGAAATCCAGTCAACATAAACCATTGATCTTCCTCGCATATTTGATTGAAATGCTCCATCATCTGATTGTTTACCCGAGCCTGTATTCTACAACCCTAGAAGTTTATACAATAACATTAGAACAACAAAAGAACAAATTAGTGTATGTTAAAACAATAAGCATAACCAATAATCAATATCACAAATACCATTATAGGTTAATGAAATTTACCCTTTCATCGACCATAATGAAATTTAGACTTCGATTATCGTCCGAGTAATCCACCACCCATTTTTTGAGTATCTTCACTATAATTCTCCAGTCAGATCTTTGAGAGTCCAATTGACGAACAAAATCATAATCCGCCATTTCGTGATGACTATCGTTTAGGGTTATACAATTTAGAGTATATTTATAAGAAAAAAATATGATTTTATAATTAATCTATAACCGAAAATTAAGAATATTAACATTTCAGAATAAATATAGATAAGGAAACAATATTATCTTCGAGTAAAACAAATATATATATATATATATTGAGGTTTTTCTATTTAAAATTATGTTAATATTCCAATTCTCATTGTTACCAATTCTTAAAATTGTTTATTATAACACCATCTATATATTTTAAATGACAAATTTATTGTAAAGAAAATTTACATTAGCTAAATCATAAACATCTACATATATATTTTAAAGATGGTGACTTGTTATCGTGTTCAAGAACGCGTAAATTCAACCAAGTAATTATTTCTTCAGTGAACAAACAAAAACAACTGTTTCTAGATTCTTATTTTTTTCTTTCATAGATGCTACAAAATCATATTATTTATAAAACATAGTGTTTAGTAGAACATGATAAAAATCAATAACCAAAAACAAAAAAAAAACGATAACAAAGATAATAATAAAAATATAAATTATAGCTAGTACATATCTAAAAAAAGAATTGTTTCCATGCACTTCGTTTCGTATCTTCACCCAAGTCCTGAAATTAACATTTAAGAATATACGTAAACAATAGTACTACAAAAAAATTATATTAATGGAGTAGGGTTAATGTCATAATAATTATGTCATAATAATTATCTTACTTTGCCCGAAATTCAGAAACTTCATCCATTCCAGGAGCAGTCATGAAACGTGAAAGACCTTCTTCTTTGTGATTTTGGATAGTAATTTCTTCTAATAAAAAAGAATCAATACGCACGATGCTATCTATAAATTCAAATTGTTTAGAGTTATATCAAATTAAAGGGTATACCTCCAGTCCTCGTAACACACTAATCGGTTAAAACACAGACGTCAAATGGACCATCATATCATATGCATTGTTCCTTTATGTCAGATGCTAATGAGCCATGTGCGATAGATTCCAATGTATTATCTCTTCAAATTACATAATAGAGTTATTGTAAAACTAAATTATCATAACAATAAGCAATAGAAAATAAAAAGAATGCGCTTACTCATTGTCTTTAAGACGAAAATGAAGTGTCAGGACAATTTTTCCATATGTCTGCACAACTGGTATGAGATCTCTTACAATGTCAAGTACACCAATCAAATCTGAATAAACACACATATCAGTAAAACTACAGCGAATTTTTCAAAAAAAAAAACAAATAAACAAATAAACAATATATGATTATACTAACCAATAGGATACTCATGAGCGAAAGGATTATTGATAATCTGTGAAAATTGTACGAAACTGAGGAATGCCTTATAATATATTGGTATTATACGTGAAACCTTTGTGTCGTCAGTCAGAGTAATCATAAAATTGTGTCTAGTTATCTTATCGCAATCATTACTGAGTAAT